CTTAGCTGGGAAGTTTTTTGGCAGAGGGACCAAATGCACCGTCTTAGAGAATGATAGTGGGGATGACAATGTTACCATCAGAGAAAGGCAACCCTTTAACAAAGTTCATGGCAATGTGGGACACTGAGGGCAGGCTGCCACAATCTCTCGCACATCTACAGACAGAGAAGGCCACCAAAACTGAGAATGAACAATGTGAATAGTCTTAGTAATACCAGGATAACAGAACAAAACAATTACAGAACTCAATGACATTCCCTCTCAGAGCATTAGGAACAAAACAGACGATCAGACCAACAATCATTGGGAAAGTTGGTTGAGAAGGTCTAACCTCCCGCTCAATGTTAACCACGGAGACAGCACACCTCAGAGATTCAGGCAAGACACTCTCCTCAGCCCCACTGAGACTATCCCTGTCCACCTCAAACACCCTGGACAAAGCATTGGGTTTGCTATTCTTAGACCCAGGTCTGTAAGACAGAGAGAAATTGAATGTACCTAAAAACAGTGTCCACCCAGCATGTCTAGGATTAAGTCTCTTGGCTGACTTAAGGTACTCCAGATTTGTATAGTCTGTCCAAACCAGAAACCGAATACTGGAACCCTCCAGCCACTGTCTCCACTACTAAAAAGCCAGTTTGACTGCCAGAAACTCTATATCCCCGACATCATAGTTCTGCTCAGCTGCTTACAGTTTCTTGGAAAAGAAAGCACAAAGGTGGATCCTCTCAGCCTCCTGACTGAGCACCGCCCTGACACCGGTACTAGAAGCATCTACCTTGACAATAAATTGCATCTTGGGGTCGGGGACACCAGAACTGGAGACAAGGTGAAGCCCTGGGCCTCTGAAAACCTTGATCCACCAGATTGGACCAGCAAAACTTGAGCTTGGATGATGTGACGGCATGAAGGGGCCCTGCCACCTGACTGTAGTTCCTAATGAACCGGTGGTAAAAATGGGCAAATCCCAAAAACCTCTTAAGCTGCTTCCGACCAATTGGTGACACCCCGCACCTACAAGGGGTCCATGGAGTTCTGGTCAGGGGAGACAACAAAGCCCATGAAAGAGATAGCGCTCACGTGAAACTCACACCTCTCTGCCTTGACGAATAACTGGTTCTGGAGAAGGCAAAGCAACACTGATCACTGATCAAGTCTGAAGAGTAAATGAAAATGTCATTAATGTAAACGAAGAGAAAAAAAAAACCCATGTCCCTAAGACCCTCACAACCATGTTCTGAAAAACCACTGGTGTGTTGTGAGCCCAAAAGCCATCACCAGATATTCATAGTGACCATTTGGGGTGTTGAAAGAGGTCCTCTACGCATCACCCTCCCTAAACACACCAGGTGATATGCATTGTGGAGATCCAGCTTGGCGAAATCCCTGAGCTCCCTTAATCTGATTAAATGCTGAGTTAATCAGTTTAATAGGATACCAATTATTAACGGTAATATCTGTGAGGCCCCTGTTATCAATGCAAGGCCTGAGGGATCCGTTGTTCTTGCCCACAAAAAAAAAGAGCCTGCTCCAGCAGGGGCAGAGGAGGGATGGATGATGCCAGCCCTAAGTGACTCGGAAATGTATTTCTCCATAACCTACCCCTAAGGGGATGTGATACCTGGCAGTACATCAATCCCACAGCAAAAAGGTCCATGGGTAGGTAGGGCTGTGGCCCTGCCCTTATTGAACACCTGTCAAAGATGGTACTCCTCGGGGACCTTAGTAAGATCGTGATAAAACTCTGGATCAACAGAGTACCCCAAAATTTTGGACTTAGCCGATCATAAACAGGAACCCGAACAAGCAATGGACCAACCCAAAACTTCAACCCTTTGCCAGTCAATATGCGGGTTTTGCTTAGTTAGCCAGGTAGAACCCAATATAACAGGAATCTGAGGTGAATCATTGATAAGAAAAACTAAAAGTTCAACATGGTTCCCTCCCCACCAACAGCTCAACAAGTTTAGTCATAGGAGATTTCTGGTTGAGCTGATGTCCATTTAAGGCTAGTCACAGGAAAGAGTCACAGGAAGCAGAACTTCTGGGGAGGCAGAAAGCCTGGCCCGGCTCAGCAGGATCCTCCCCCTTCCTAGAGAGCCTGATCCTCTTACCTTTTCCCTGCTTCAATAACCCCATTGAATCATCTCTGCTGGGTACAATAAGGCTGAAGACATGGACCAGCTCCTCAGAAATCCTCATAGGATTTGCACAGAGAGGAGTTATTCTGCCATTCCAACGTTCCCCATAAGTTCGCCCCGCCCGCTAACAGCGAGATAAGCCAGCTTTGCCCGATCAGATGGAAATGAGGAGGGCTACAGCTCGAAGTGGATTTCACATCGAGTTAGAAAAGCTCTGCACTGCTCCGTATCAGCCATATACAATTATGGAGTACACAGACGTGGTACTTGACAGTCAGAGACAGCAGGCGGAGGCGTAGACATCGGCATGGCTCTGTGGGAAAGATCAGAGGCAGCTGAAGTTGTCTAAAGCTTGCGGTGGGTGGAGCTCCGAGAGCTCCAGGTGATTAGCGGAACTGATGATAACTGACGCCAAGAAGCAACAGTGGGAATATCAAGAGCCGAAGTCAAAGAAGAAGCAAGAGCTGACTAGAAGGGGAATCCAAGCCGAGGCCAGAAGAACAGTCCAAGTTCGGTAAGCCGGTAGAATCCAGGAATTAGTCCAGAACAGATCAAACTAACAGAGTGGATGAGTCAAAGCAACACACAACATCCACAAGACAGAAAACAGGTCACAATCAAATAAAATCGTACCAGAACAATAATCAGAACGCTAGAGTTACTCTCACCAAACAGCTTTAATAATGTGGCACTGGTGACTGGAAAACAAGCAGCATATATAGGAGCTGGAAACCAGTGGATCAGATAAACATTAATGAGAAACTGAACGTATTTAAACAGGTGAATGGAATGAGCAATCAAGCCAGCCACCAGTGCCAGGATCATGAGAGTAGCAGGAGTATGATTGCAAAAGCAGTGACAGGCCAAACCGTTATGAAGTTGCAGTGACAATACAAATGGATTAGTCAATGTAAGCCACACTGTCTGAATACTTTAGTTTTGGCACGATTGCAACCTTTGTACTCGAAACTGTATCTGCACTTCAAGCAAGGCACTCATCATTGAGGGTTTATAGAGTGTGGTGCAAGTATTGGAACTCGGCCTATGTTTGCTGAAGGGAGTGTAGGTGTTTACTTTCATGTGAGCACATGTAAA